CCTTTTTAATAAATTTACAGACATTTCTAAAATTCTGTTTTCACTTTGTCATTATGGGGTACTAAGTGTAGATTAATGAATTTGAACGATTGTAGTATCAGGCTGCAACATAACAAAATTGAAAAAAGTGAAGGGGGTCTGAATACTTTCCAAATGCACTGTATAGCAATCCATGCAATAAAGAGAACAATGATCAATTTTGGCACATTTTGATCAGTATGCCACAAGTGCAAGTGAACTCTAGATTTGCCTCTAATGTACTGTACTCACATTCTCTGTGTAAGCTAGGATCTAATTATTAATTAGAAGGATTTTGTACTCAGGGTGCCTTATTTTGTAAAATAACTAAACATTAAAAATACTGGACTTTGTAAACTTCTTTATACGTGGATAGTGGTAATAGGATTTGTTCTTTCAATACTTTGGTGGAAGTTATGTTAATATTTTAAACACATCAATCTTAGAGATATTCCCCAGGGAATTTTGTCATCTTGTCATTAATGTATTGTTGAAACTATAACAATACATTATTTGATGTACAGTGATGGCTGTACTGTATATTATATATATATCCTAATTAGATTTTTAAAATGTTTCAATTTTAAATACTCCTACAGAATATCTATCACAGTATTACAAGAGTATTGCAAATATTTGCTCCATAGACTTAAAAATAAATTATGGCATTTTGATGATAAAATTCCTAAATCAAGTTTTGATTAATTTTCAGGCTGAATGGCTGTAATCTAATTTTCTATTATCCTGATGTTTTGCAAGCAGCTGTGGCTGGCATCTTCAGAGGCAGAGTAAGCTGTTTTGTGGTGTACCTTTCAGTAGCTCACATGCAAAAACAATACCTAAAGATCTGATTATTTTTGTTTGCTTATTTTCTGGACAAGCATAAAAATACTTGGTAATAGATGGGTTTGGAGTAATGTCTAAAGTTTACACTTTCCTGTAGTGAGAAAGAGTTATATTCAAAGTGCTAACAAAAAAAAATCACATAAATTTACTTTACACTAAATAAATAAAACAAGATGACAATATGGTTGATTAAAACCTTAGCTCTCCCAGCATTAATAATTGCAATAAAGGCCAGCCTGGATAGTATAACTTCTTCAACAATGTATGATTCTTCATAAAGTCTGCCAGTACCCAAACTATACTTCCTTCAACATTGAGTTTGAACCTAAGGAAATGGACAGGGTCCTTGATACTGTAGATCTGACTGTCTTTTTTTAGATCCACACCCCTCCTGGTGGTTAAAGCCTCCAGGAAGAGTTGTTGTTGTTCAGTCGTTAAGTCGTGTCTGACTCTTCGTGACCCCATGAACCATATTGCGCCAGGCTTTCCTGTCCTTCACTGCCAGGAAGAGTGCATGTAGGCAAATCCATGTGATGGTTATTCCTTGAGAAATGGGCTAGTTCCGTCAACTCTGAAGAGGCAGTGGTCCAGCCCGCCTCAGGAAACCATCATTAGATCCTACAGATTTGAACAACTGCTGTCCTGTCTCTTATAAGAGAAGGTGGTAGGATTGCAGCTCCCAAGGCCCCTGGAGGAAGTGGATTAATAGTATTTTGCAGAGTAGATAGATTTGGTTAGGACAATTTAAATGCAATCTATTAAATGGGAAAATATTAAACTGATTCAAAATAATGAGGTTTAGCACTGTACTATGATAGATTGCAACAAGCACTAAGACCTTGAGCTGGAAATCATACTCAGGCTCACTAATAAATAAAATAATTGTTTAAATGTAGATGTCTTTTCCCTGTGCTCCATCCCTGTAATATTTAATGGATTTTAGCCTTCTGGAAGTACAGTAAAACAGGGATTTCCAGACCTCAGTTCAGAAGACCTTGGAAGCAACAGACAGAATTTCATTTTGGGCTTCACTTTCACTTGGACAAAATCTGTTTAGGGATGAAATCCAAAGCAAATTTTCCACTGTTAATAAAGCAGTTCAAAACACTGATGTAATTTTATATCAGTTGTATCCATTTACAATATTGTGCAATTATATTGATGAAAGTGATGCAAAACATTGATTATATAAGTATGCAAAATGTTGTGGGTGAGTGCAAATTGTTTAATTTGTGTCAATTTGAGTGTAAAGGGCATTGAAATTTAACAGATGTTCCTTCTACCCAAATGATCAAATAAATTGAGATTTTAATATATACTAAACCAGTCAATTTTCTTAGAGTTTTGCAAGAAAATAACAGTTTTAAAGAAGGTGTAAGAAGCTATCAGGTTATATACCTGATTGTTAACTTGGTTGCTTGTATTTTTATCAGTGCCAAATGCAAATGTTTCCATTGTAGAAATACAGTTATATTAGCATTGCTGTAAAATGCCAGCATGATTCTATCTGTTACTGCCAATTCTGTTGCTCTGCTGGATAGACTAGAACTTCCTTTCCTTTCCTTAACTTTCCTTTCCCCTTTCCCCAGGTATAAAAGCCTAATTGCATGGAGAACTAGAACAAATAGAAACGTATTACTTTTCCACTGTCTTAGAGAGCATTATTCCTAAATGCAGTAACATCTTTTGCATACTTTCATGTGTAATCCCCATAGGATTTCTCATTCCATATGGGACACTGACTTTATATAATCTATCCAGGCAGTAACATCATACCCACACCTAAAACTAAGGAGCATGCTTCTCCAGGGCCATAGGTTCCCTAAAATGACTCAAGGATACAGTACTCTCTTTTTAGATGGGTGGGAATTAGGCTGTGATGGATATATCTATACCTATAATGGCATAGGCTTGCCAGTCATGGAATGTATGGACAAAGAATATTTTATAATACAGTAACTATTCCAGACTGTTATCTGACCTAAAAGGAAATTACAGTGAAGCAATGGGAGCCTGCTTAAAAATGGAAGTTCCTGTTTTCTACCAAATGTTTGTTATTGTATATTAATTTTTTAAAACTCAGTTAATAGCCATATTAAAGTACGCATTTTCCAGGGAGCTACCGGGCAACTGATAAGGAAAAGCTAAAAAATGCTCTGTACCAAGCACAGCTGAATAGTGTTTATAAACTAATCATCTACTATATTCAAATTAGTTAAAACTGGGAGTGTAATTTATAATTGTCCAAAGAAAGTATAATTATCCCGCCCCACCCCCTTGTGGTCTTGTAACTCATATGGTACAGGTAATTGATTTCTTACTGTTGGAAGATCTGAAGAGCCAGACTAGGGACAGATCATCCTGGAGAAGTATTCACTAAGAGTAGACACCGGCTTGATGGCATGTAATCAATCAAATCCACATGTTTCCTTGGAGGGCGGAATATTAGCATTCACTCAGAGCTGAGTCCTCATAAGCCAATATTTCAAACTGTGGTGAATGTTTATAGCTAACTTATAAATTGCTGGAAAAATAATGCCTTTTTATAAGTAGCTGTGGCAGAACTTTAACTACTGATCCATGAACACACCAGCACTGCATTCCAGTTTATTGTAGCCATAACAGTGGGGCTCTAGGTCATAAGAAGAATCAGTCATTTCAGTTATTTAATCTTTCAACCCCACTTCTGAATCAAACTCTTACTTGTTTATATGGCATTTCTTTTCAATTTAATTTTGCCCATTAATACTTCCACTAAATTACCTAATTAACAAATGAATTCTCCAACTGCTATGAATATAAATAACCTTTTAAGAATGTGTCTTGTTTTTACAATGGGAAGATGCAGATTTAAGATAATGTGTTTACCTTTTAACTGTTCAGAAGTGGAACAACATTTGAAGATTTTTTTTTTTACAAAGTAAACATTCAGATACTGTCAAACAAAAATTTAAGTTTTTCATGTTCAGGGATAATCTTGCTGTCAAGAGTGTCATTTCTATTTCTGTTTTCCTGTCCTTTTTATTCCTAAATCTTCCTTTTTGAAATCTGCTCTCCATCTACATTCCTAATACAGTATTCTCAAAATGACTCCTATCCCTTCCCCCAGTCACTATACCACCAAAGCGTTAAAATGTTTATATGCTTCTGTAACATGTGTAATAGGGGAAATCTAGCAATACAAGCAAATTTATATTTTCTGTAAATTACACTATAGTATAATGGTTAAGGAGTTGGACTTTGATTAGGGGGACCCAGGTTCAAATATACCCTTAGCCATAGAAACTTACTAGGTAGCTTTGGACCGGTCACTCTTTTTCAGGCTAATCTACCTCACAAGGTTGTTGTGGAGATGAAATGAAGGGCAATCCTCATGGAAGCCCCCTTGAGCATTTGGAAGATAGAATGCCAATCTATCAAGTAAATACAGTATATTTACTTGATTATTATAACAGTAATTCCTGTTATAATGGTAATTTCTTGTAAATTCCAACTTGACCACTTACATATTTTCTGCCTTTTCTCTCCTCAACTAAGTTACTTGGAGTACAAACCTATTCTTTTGTATTGTATTCCAAAGTAAGTACTTCATTGGTTCTTACTTCCAGGAAGTGAAATATAGCCTTAGTACCTGCAAACTTTTATACTGAACAGATTTACAACTATTAGGAGAAAGTACATACCTTTTATGTTCAACGTTATTCTAATAGCAAAACTTTAGTAATTTCTGCAAGTTCATCATAGCTTTCTATGGGTATATATTGGATTTGGCTGAACCTGGATCCTGAGGCAAAGTAAGGTAAATTGGAACAGATTTTAATTCTGCTCCATGGAGGAGCACAAAAGTCTGAACATGGTCATTGACTTTAACAAAGTTTCACTGTGATCGGTTTCCAAGAGGACCTGTAAAAAGTGCTAAAAAGGAAAAAAAATGGGGGGGCACATTTCTTCATGCACTTAAGTAAACATTAAGGTAGGGAAAAAGAGGGAGAACCATACTTACTGTAGTAATCAGGATTCTCCCTCTGCTCTTGAGAAGATTTTTAAACTTCTACCTGGCAAAGAGTAGAGAGGACAACATTTGTGCTCCCTCAGATTCCTTTCACTGGGATTATTTGGGCTCCGCTGTCTGCTCTGCTTTTTTAAAAGAATCCTTTATTCAAATTTTCTAGACTGGAGAGGTAGAAAAAATAAATAAAAGGATGGGAGTATGTAGTGCACAAGTGTAACTAAAAAAAAAAAGCTGGTAAGGCAAGCCCTATTAGAAGCAGCAGAAAATCTGTTTTAGACACTACAGGATAACTTATATCTAAAAAAGCAATAACTACCACCCAGTTTTTTTTTAAAAATAGTCTGATATTCTTTAGGTTCTTCTGTTTTCTATCCCTTGTGATGGTTGCTTATTTTTCTTCCTCAGATTGAGCCATGCACGATCTCTTACCTTACATTATGAGGAGATAAATGTTTATAGATACTTCCAACCTTTTTCTCCTGCTTCATATCCTTTGATAAAATACTTCCTCATTTTCCTTCAGTAATATTAGTTGACTAATCTTTCCTAATTCGTTTTTCACAGTCTGAAATTTTACCCCTCCTCAGGGTATTCTGTCTTCTGACTGAAAACCAGTTCTCCAGGGTATGTAGCTTCAAAATCCCTGTACCTATTTCAGTGAAAAATAGCTTGCTTTCAGATTTCGTCCTATTTCACTGAAAAAGAAAGCTGCAACTGTTTGTGTTTTCTTCCCTGCTAATCAGTAGAAGTCTTGTTTTAACCATCTCTCCATCCACAAGTGAGTTGGAATAGACTAATCCTAAAGTAACATGGGGTATATTAGGCTGTTTTCAAATCTCCAGTTTTGGAGCACTCACTCTTCTGTGAAGGATTCTATTTTCACCACAGTCTGAAGTATACTGGTATTAGGCATAAACTTGTTTTATAAAAGTTTGAGTACCTGTCCACAATTTCCATGGCACAATTCTTTTGGGTAGTGGGGCAAGGCAAAAAGGCTGTACGCCTTCAGTAGTTATGCAGAAGAATGGCTTTAGCAGATGTAACTAGTACATGAGTTGTTTGCACTTGGCCATTTCACTGTTGGGTCCAGGGCTGCAAACAAGATTCATATCTTAATTTGGTTATTGTGTACAGTATGCCTGCTGTATATCCTTGGTCTGACCTTTAACCTATTCTAGTCTGAAACATACAAGAAGGCTAACAGTCTTACAGGTACGTTGTACACAGCAGATGAAAATGACAAATCATTTTGTTTTCTGGAAGCTCTATATGAATTATTCATTTAAAATGGGCGTGGGAGCTGAAATTACCATACCGTTCATTTTTAGAATAAGCATCTGTGGATGGAGGCAAGGACAAGATTTTCTGTTGGTTTTGGTCATCATTCATTTTAAATCATTGCTACCTGTGTTAAACACATTTTAGAGGAAAGGTAGAATTTAAATCAATAAGGGTTAGGAATATACTAATAAATGTAGGAGATTGGGCTTGATTTGAATATACTCATTGTTCATTTATAAAGAATTTCATATTTAAAATGAACAGCCAAACAGTATTCAGATCCAATCAGTTCTGCAATAAACATTAAAAATTGGTATTTAATAATTTGTGAACTAATGTTATGATTGTAGATTTTTCTTCTGAGATGAATACAGTTTTTCTGGATGCTATAAATTATATCAATTAGTTCAGCTGCACAGTCCTTGGTGACTAGTATCAGAACAGTTGGTATTTCAGCTGAACGTCGGTACCTTTAACATGATATGTGGCTTTGTGGATTATTATGCACGTATCAGCCATCTTAAAGGAGAACCTGGAAGAAAAGCACTAATTGTTCATTTCTCATAGGTATAGAAATGCTCCTCTAAAATATGCTTCCAGATTTCCCTGTAAGCAATGAATGGTAGTAACCAGACAGTGAGACCTTTGAGATGTGTACTATATGGGTGGATGTTGCAGCGTGAGATTTATGGAAACAGAAACTGGTTTGCAGTTACCACCAATTAACATTTCACTTCCGATTTGCAGGAATTGGGTAGCCTTGGTGCATTAGGTACAACTTCTGCGCTATGGGAAAAAGAAACAAGAGGACAGCAGATAGTTCGTCCTCTGAAGATGAGGAGGAATATGTTGTGGAGAAGGTTCTAGACAGGCGTGTTGTGAAGGGTCAAGTGGAGTATCTTCTCAAGTGGAAAGGATTCTCTGAGTAAGTCCAACTTTCCTTCTGACATGGGCTTTGATCTTTCTTGGTAGCAGAGCTCCAGGCAGTGCTTCAAATTAAAACTCCATTGCCATTATTCAAGCTTTCCCTTAAAGGAGGAAGGTAAACCCCCACAGGTGGGAGCTTGCTTTGCTCACTCCAAATAGGGCGTGCATCCATTTAAACAAGTGGGTCGTGAGGCAAGGCCTGGGACCTTAAAATGTGTTTTGAAAATACTGGCATCTGCGTTCCCTCTCTCACTTCACAGAGTTGGTAGTTCCACTTGAGTTATTCACCAGCACTATTGCCTAAATAGTTTTATCATTTTGAATTTTCTGAGTTGGGGAAGGCATTTTGATTAAATATTCTGGTGACCCTTCTGTGTATTGCTTTAAAGAGCTGCTTAGGGGAAAAAAAGATAATTCCCTCCACTCCAATTAATACTGATGTATTAATTCTGCAATAATTAATTCTGTGATCTTAGCTCCCCCATTGTGGATTGGACCTTTGCCCCACCTGGCTAATAAAAGCAGCCAAGAAGGGGACTAGAAGTGGGATCCAGGCTGTAATCAATAACTCTTTGAGAGAAGGGGAAATGCTAGAGGCCCTTAGAGGCGCTGGTCCATCCCTCCTTTAAGAGACCAGGTCTGGATCTAACAAAATTGGACTACCATCCTTTCTCTAACCTTCCCTTTTTAATTAAGTGGTGGAGCTGCAATTGCAGAAGGCTCTGGAGGGTGGATTATCTGAACTCTTGGCAGCTTGAGTTCAGACCTGGGCATGAGATGGAACCATGTTAGTCACTCTTATGGGTGTCCTATACTGAGGTTTGGATGTGACCATCCTTGTCCTCCTGAATCTCTTAGCAGCCTTTGATACCGTCGACCACAGTATCCTTCTGGATTGCCTACAAGGGTTGAGAGTTGGAGGCATGGTGTTGTAGTGGCTCCGCTCCTACCTGAGGTGTCCAGATGGTGATTGTGGAGGGAAAGAGATCAAACTCATAGGCAGCTCTGTATGGGGTACCCTAGAGTTGAGTCCTTTCCCCTATCCTCTTCAACATCTACATGAAACCACTGGGAGAGGTTATTCATCGGTTTGGAGTGAGGTATCATCAATAAACGATTGCACTTCTCTACCCTAGGCCTGCTAGGAGGAAAGATGGAAGTCATGACCTGATGTCTGGAGCCAGTCAGGGTCAGGATAGGGAAAAACAGGCTCAAACTCAACCCAAACAAGACAGAATGGCTGTTGATTCACAGGCTGTTTGATTCCAGGATTGCACCATCTTTGTGCAAAGTGCATCTTTGTGCAAAGTGCAGGCTCACAATCAGTTTGTGTTTGTGGACTCATGGCTACTGGTCAAAGAACAGGTGGAGACCATGGCCAGAAGGGCTTTTGCACAGCTTCAGCTGGTTCACCATTCACAGCTTACCTGGAACTCGATGCATTGAAGATAATTGCTCATGCCCTTGTCATCTCCAAATAAATTACTAGCTAACTAGTAATTACTAGTACATGGGGTTGCCCTTGAAGACCATGTGGAAGCTTCAGGTGGTCCAGAACACAACAGTATGCATGCTCAGTCAGTCACAAAACTGCCTCTGTTGCAGGAGCTGCAATGGTTACCAGTAGGTTTCCAAGTGCGATTCAAGACTCTGTTCACTACCTACAAAGCCCTACAATGGCTGAAGCCCTGGTATCTTAGGGAGTGCCTTTTTCCAACTGTTTCTGCCCCTTCTACCCAAACAACTAAGGAGTGCCTGCTAAGAATTCCCATCTATCAGAAAGTACTGCAGAAGGGGGCCCAGTGATGGGTGTTCTCTGTAGCAGCTCCCCTCCTTGGCATAGTTTGCCCCCAAGGCAAGGATGCCCCAATCCTCATGACCTTCCAGAAGCAGGTAGAAACATGATTCTTTTGGAAGGCCTTCAGGGATTAATTTTTACCAATTACACCATATTCAATAAATTTAAGATTACTTTTAACATTAAATTAAATTGAGATTTAATTGAATTACCATTTTAATATTATATCAACTTGTTGCATCTTATATATAAATTTTGTAAGCTCCCTGAATAATTCTGATTTCTTGAGATAGATAAATCTCTCATAGATATATAATTCAAACACAGAATGTTGGTATTGGGTGTGAAACAGCATCCTGAATATTTCCGTTTTTACTTTTTTAAAGTACCTTTCTAGCTGCTACAGTGATTAAAATAAGTTTGAAAGCTGTAATTCAATGCCTGAAAATCTGCAGAGCCAAGATGGGCCAAGCAGAATCTCCAGGATTATGTAATGGAATTTAAGCGAATAGACAACTTTGTCCCACTCTACAGTTAGATGTATCAGAGCAAGATATGCAGAATAATGTTTTTTTTAAGCACCAGAGATGCACATTCCTTCTCATTTGACCCATTACAAAATAATTGCTCTCAAAAAATTTTTGTGAATGTGTGTATTCATGTCCATTTGTATCCTGGTTTATTAACCTGGGTTCTTCAGGGCAGCTTTATAATTCCAAAAGATCAAGCTGGGTTATCTATTTGTAGAATCATTATCTACAAGGTTCAGATTTCAGGATGAGATATTTAAATGGATGCACACTACTTGATTCTAGGAAGGCAAGTTCATCAAGCTGATATTGAGGTGCTGACCTATTGTGCAGCAGTTGAAACAGGTCCATCTGATATCACAGCAAAAAAGGAGAAACTTTCTATATTTGGGGGGCTTGCAGTGTTTCAGTTAATCAGAAAGTTTCTATGTCCTATAACATGCTGAGGCCTTACTCTGTTACCAAAGAAAAACAGCTATTGCTTACTAATCCACCCAGAGTCATTGGGAATTGGGTGGCATATAAATATTATTATTATTCCCAAGATGCTTTGATATATATGATGCTTTACTGTGATCTTATCTATTGGATACAAATTAGCCTAATTAATCTGTGGGATTTTTTTTCCTTTCACTCCGTCATGTCCATTTTTCCTTGAGTGGATTTGTTTAACATCAAGCCTGGAGAAGGTGTTTCTTTGAGCCTCAAACATTAGTTTGCTGCCATGAGGTTTTTAGTTGGCTTTAATAAAGGATGTATTATAATATAGCTATTTATTGGCATTTATTTAACATCTTAATTAGTAACTATCTTAAGGGACCTGATGTGCAATATAGGGTGTCTTCTCAGAAATATTTTGCATTTTAAGCAGTCATGTAGGTCTGGTATACAGGAAAGTCCCCCTACTATTTGGGGAAATACCCTCTGCCTGAATATAATATTTGTTATTTCTAATGTTCCATTTGAGAAAGTCACTCTTGGAGTATGTATTTCTATAATCAGATGTACATCTAATGTTTTATATATCAGGGTATCAAAACTGATTTGTAAATAATATCCCTATGCAATGAGGTGGTGGGGAAGAATAACAAATTTCTTAAGTGACTGAATACATGTTTTTGAAGCAAGGGCAAACTCTGTGATTGGAATTCTTTCTAATCTGAAATTGAAATTGAGTATAAAGTTGGGTTTTAAACCAAATCTAGCTTAGAGTAAACAACCATGAGAAACAATTGTATTGGTTTGGTGAATGTCCTGAATTCCTGAAAAAAAATGGAATTGTTCTTTCATATAGTGATTATTGTACATGAATTACCACTTCTCATTTGATGTTTGTGATCACTGAGTGGGAATGTCTTCAATTTTTCTTCTGTTTGTTATTCTCCTTTCCCCCCATTGTTGCCCATCTCTTGTTGTGTCAGGGAGCATAATACCTGGGAACCTGAAAAGAACCTTGACTGCCCTGAACTGATTGCTGAGTTTATGAAAAAATACAAAAAAATGAAGGAAGGTGAAAACAAGCCCCGGGAGAAATCAGAGGGCACCAAGCGAAAGTCTAGCCTCGCCAACAACACTGAAGAGATCAAAGCCAAAAAGAAGAGAGAGGTGAGTATCCTGCTGGAGGTCTTTCCTCGCCCCATGACAAATTCCGTTCAGCATTCTTGTGTAGGCAGTTCTTTCTTTGCTTTAAAATTGGACAATTTAGATTTTCAAGTATATCAGGAGTTGGAAAACACCTTTTCAAAGTAAAGCCTCTACTTCATTTGTGCCAATTTTTACATGCCTCTTGTGGAAAACTATCCTGTAAAACAGGATGAACTAATTGCCACCACTCATTGTAAAGAAAAGAAACACTAAAATAATTACGACCTTTAAAATATAATAAAGATTAACAATCAAACAGGGTACTATCTAGAGTAGATTAAGATCTGAAGAAATGCAATTTATCAGTTGAAAGCTGGCTAAAGCAGGATTCCTAATTGTGACAATAAACAAAGCATGCATAAGGCTAAAGACTTCTCTGTCTAGATAGACTCTTCCTTTTTGTTATCTTCAGTTTGCTTCAACCTCTTGTAACTTTTGTCTCTTTAGAAGAAGGAGCTTTGAAAGCCTGTAGTTTAGGAATCTAAAGAATATGTATAGCCAAATATCTGATCTTTAGTGCTGAAATTATAGGATGCTCAGAGCAGACAGGATGCATCAGGGAGCCAGGGGAAATAATCTCCCTGGGGGTTCTGAAGACAGGTGCTGCATTGAATGCAGTGCAATGGATATTTCTCAGTTGCTTTGTCTTAGGAAGTGTGCCTGCTCTGTCATGGCTTGACCTTTGGAATAGCGTCCTTCTGGAGGTTTGGATTGCCTGACTCTGCAATGTTCTTTAAATACTTGGCCTTTTTCTGGGATAGGTTGATGATATGCCCATGTGATGCATATTATTGATTTTGGTTGTAGTGTGTTTTCCACCTATTACATAATGTTTTTTATGTTGTTTTTAGGTATTGTACTGGTTTTAATTGTATAGAATGCTGCCTGGAATCTGCTTTCAGTTGGGGTGGCCTTACAAATTGTAATTATAACTAAATATAAATTATCTTCATTCATTAATTCATTAATTCATTAATTCATTAATTCATTAATTCATTCATTCTTTCATTCAACTTATATGGTCACTCACTTGCCAAGTTATTAAAACACATCTTTATGGGGCACTGTGAACCTGTGAAATCTGTATAAATGAGGATCTTTGAGTGGCATTTTATGTCTTGCCATTCCCCTCTGGAAGAGAAAATCATCTATGTGTTCATTATTTTTTTTATAACTTTATTTGAAAAAATGCCCTGCCCTTTACTGCTGTGCCTGTACAAAATTATGGCTAGGTTACTAGAGATTCAAATCTGCACTCTACTGTCAGCTCTTAATGAAATCATAAGGGGTAATAAGGTCATGTGTTTCATATCCAGCAGATTATTATTAGTGCATTTGGATTACAGTTTTATAACCCATTATGTATTTTTCTTAAAATTTGGGAAGTAAATCTGTCCATTGTGAAATGAGTGGTTTGTTTCCTGCCAGAGCTACTTCTGTTCTCTAACATTTAGGTTGCCATGGTTCCCCTTTCAACATGGTGCCTCTGTTTTTTTCAGAGCTAGTGATTAGAGCTATGCATAGACAGGGATTCACAGAGGTGGTTGAGCCTAGCTCCCTGTTCAGTGCAGGAATCCAAATTAAAACATTCTGACAGGTGCCTTTCTAGCTTCTGCTTCAACACATCCAGTGAATGGGAGTCCACAACACCTCTGGATAGTTGTTTCCATTGTTATATCACTCTTCTTGTTAGAATGTTTTTCCTAACATTTAGTTGAACATTCCATTCAGTGGCCTGTAACTTAAATTTAGCATCCTAAACTTTGGTCCTAAGAAGATTCTGTATGATATCCTTCCATGTATTTGAAGAATGCTTTCATTATTCCCCCTCAGTCTTCTCAAGGCTAAACATTCCCAGCTTCTTCATGGTATTTAATCATTGGTACCGATAACTAAGCTCTGGAATCTTAACAGCAGTCTCTGGCCTTCTGGAAGAGCATCAAGACCTAGCATGGGCATTCACATGGTGGTTTGAGGATGCTCTCCCTTAAATTTGTATATCTTTGTAAAGATTTTTATAGCTTTCTTTTTTACTTGTAAGCCACCTAGAGTTACTTGTACAGTGAAGTGGGCAGCACATAAATTTGATCAATCCATCAATCAATCAATCAATCAATCAATCAAAATACAATCAATCCATAAATTAGCCTTCTGAGGAGGCCATACATCAGCAGAGAACTGCTGGGAATCATAGATTGGCAAGGAAGTCATTGCTGATCAGATATGCTTCTGAGCACCATGATCTTTGTACACCTTCTTCCTATGGCCAATGTATGCGGTGTTTGGTGTATGATATTTCTGTAAAAAAAGTGCATGGATAGATGAGGTTGTTTTGCTCTGGTAACTTCTACCACAAGGCATTTATTACAATTTTTGCTCCTTTACTGCTAAGTTAGAAACCTAATTAATTGTTGTTCTTATGTAGGTATCTTCTCTGGTTCTTTTAATACTTAGGTATGAGAAAGGAACAAGGAAAGCAGCTTTTCAGTAACACGTTCCTTGCTGTGCTATATCTTGTTGCAGTGTCCCAAAAAATACAATGTCCCAATCGCCCTGTGGATGGTCCCTTTAGTAGCCTGACCAGTTACTTCTGGCTCACTTTCAGATCTTGTGGGTATGTTATAAGGATGGAGGAGAGGCCACCATCAAAGGAACCAATCTGAAATGGATTGAGATTGCAGTGCTCCTCCACAGTTTTCCCTGCTCAGCAGTAGACAGGTTTGAGCTACCTGCTATTGTTTTGGTGCATTGGGATTGTAACATTAGAGTTGAGAGGTACAGTAACTGCTTGCCACAGTCTCTGTTTCTCAAGTCCCAAGTGACTGACACCCAGATAGCAGTGTCTGGTACTGTTTGTAGCTCAGGACTCTTCTCATTCTCCAGTGTTTCTTCCCAGATCCGCTTCCTGCAACAAGAGGCTACCCCAGTTTCAATGGAACAATGGTAGATATCCATTAGATGTAACTTTTCTGGAAAATTCTTCCCACACAATACCATATCCTCACAAAGACACATTATCCTGTGCTCGTTTGATCCAGCCATTGAAACTATATCACAAAATGTCAGTTTTGGGCTTTGAGAAATTCTCTAGTGGTAGAGGAGTGACCAATTCTGATTCTGCACACATGGTGGCTTACCAAATGCTATGTACACGTATAATGTATGGCTTTACAGATTTTACTTCAGCCTCCTGTATTCTTTAGGGGCTCAGGAATACAAGGAAGCTTGTAAAAGGCATGTCTCTTTTATAAAAGTGTTTTGGTATCTCAAGACTCTGCAGTGGTATTAGCACTATATTCAAAGCAAAATACTTATTTGGATTTTTTATTATTGTTGGTGTCACTATATTTCTTTTTTCTCTACCTGGCTGATTGCAAGCCTTTTGGGGAGCCCTAATGAAGGGCTGTCTGTCTTATAGCGTGGATTTCATTGATTTATACGTAAGGCATGTTTGGGGCATGCCATTTAAAGCACAGGAGGAGAATGTAGGCACAGGCGTGGAATCTTCAACCCACCAAACTTACTTTCAGTATGGAACTCGACTGTGGGAATACATACCCAGAGGAATATCAGCATTCCCTTTTGCACAAGCTTCTGTGTTTATTGTTAATTAAAAGTTGTATGATCTGGTTTTTGGGGGCCCAAAGAAGACATTAATAAATTGTACATAAATACAGATAAAATAAAATCTAAATGAATGCTCAAACTATAATTAAAACCTCAAACATAATCGGAGTGAAAAAAAGTTGTCTGTCTATGTACCTTGGTGCTGTAAAGGAATATTTACAAGCTCGCTTAGGTAGAACAGTCTGTCTGTAATCACAGATAGTGTCCTACACTGTCACAATGCAGGGCTGAATCTTAAAAATAGTTACAAATAATGCCTGCTGAAAATACAGTATTTTATAAAGTAATATAATTTAATGAATCAATCATCCAATTACTGCTCTGGCTAAGATAATTTGTATGTACAGACCTTTGCTTTAAAGAATTTTTGCTACCAAGTTGCTGGATGATGTAATAGCAATAGATCTTTAAGGCTACATTGATTTCAATGGCTGTTGGTACTTTAGGGAATTAGATGCTTTTAAAATGTTCAGAAACTCCACTGTTTCACATGCCTATTCATCTAAATTGGATGGGGAAGCTATAGCCCTCCAGGTAAAATGCTGCACTACAACTCCCAATAGCCCCAGCTGTCTTGGCCAGTAGTAAGGAATGCTGGGAGTGGTTGCTTAGCAATATCTGGAGGGTTGTAAGTACTCACCTCTACTGAATCTAGATATATAATTGTTTTAAAGTTTTGTTTCTGCATTGAGTTCCCCGTTTCTCCTACCATCATCGTGCATGTCTTGGGAGGTTAAGGCCAATTCATATCTTAAAATTTCCCACACTACACTGATCTTGCCTTATTTTTTTTAAGTTCATTTAAGAATATTTCCTATCCATAGTATTAGACATTTCTGAACAATTAAAAGGCAAGAGAGCTGAAGTACTATGATGCCTTTCTTTTGCAATATATTACATGGTTTGTAGATTCATTCATTCCTCTGGGGTGTACCAGTCACTAAATGAGCTCTTTCAGTTTTGTTGCAGTCTCTATTCTTTCACTTACCATCACAGGTTAATGTATTTCTTTTCTTCTCCTTCTTTCTCACTTTGCAACCGGCTTTAGTACTTCAGAAAAAGCCAAGCTGTCTGCCTCTGACATGCTTGGTCTGTATAGCTGCATCTGCTAGACAGTATGTGTGAGCAACAAATGTGTGGATCTCTAGCAGAATAGCGTGTGGTGGTGGTGGTGCTGCTGCTGCTGCTGCTGCTGCAAAGCAGGGAGAACACTCTCGCTCCAGGCTTGCAGTGACTGAAAGCTGTTACCAGCCTTCAGATGGTATGTGCAGAGGGAGCTGATTGACCCTTGTCTGGGGCCCCGGAGGTTTAAGCTCTCGGTTGCAACAACAACCAACCAAAAAAATCCCCCCTTCTGCATGAATGGGACACACCCATCGACGGCACCACCGGCACAAAGACCTCAAGGACCGTGAGAGCCCATAGAGGTGGTGCGCTCTGGAGCGGGGGAGGCGTAGCAGGGATGGGGAGCTTTGGAAATCGCGAATGGCTGCTGCTGCAGCAGCTGCAAAGGCAAGATGACTTAATTCCCTCAATCTGCCCATTGCTTTCTTAGCCCATTTTCATGGCGACTTCGGGTCCTTCCCCCCTCCCCCCTCCCACCTTTTAGGCTTCTTTCCTCCACCTCGACAATCTCTCCCTTTCCCAACATCTAGCGAGAGAGAGTGTAAAGATTAATAATACAGACAGAAAAGATATTAAGGCCTCCTCGGCTGCTAATTACAATCACGCCACGTATGGCATCTGTTTATCACCTGCTTCTGAGTGCCCCTGGAAGCCTCTCTACTTCATGGTTGAGGGAGACTAACAAATGGCCAAGGAATAGGAATAGGAATAGGAATATTTTTAACTCTTCTTTTTCTCTTGCTTTCTCTCCATCAGAGCACCGATATTGCCAGGGGCTTTGAAAGAGGATTGGAGCCAGAAAAAATCATCGGAGCCACAGACTCCTGTGGAGATTTAATGTTCCTAATGAAATGGTGAGTGTGCTTCTTTATTTTTAATTTTTTTTTAAATCAATCCTGTTGTCTGATACTGCATTTTTCTCCTTTGTGGAATAACCGGTAAATTAATACTCTTGGGTGAAGTGCCATGGTTTAATGGTTCAATGGCAGTTTGTTGGCTGGGCTTTGTTCTCCCTGGAGTGGACGTTAAGCTCTGCTTCACAGATGCAGTCCACCCTGAGCTTATGGATTTCGCTTACAGGAAGGCAAACTTACTGTCTCCCTCCTTGTTCCCCAAATGTGTAGAGAGCACAGGAAATCCTTCTGGAAAGGTTTTGACTTGCCTCTTGTTTTTGTTCCTGAGCTTATCTCAGCTGGAAGCCTCTCTGCAGGCAGGCAGGCAGGCAGAGAGAGTTGGCCAGGCAGCATATGCAGCAGCTGCCCCTCCCCCCAGCAGAAGCAGAGACAAAGAGCAGAGCCTGGCTTATCAGCCAGACAGAGGTTATAGCACAGCTGCCTTTGAGAAAATTGCCTTTTGCTCCCCAATCTTCCTCCTCCCCAGCCCCATCAAGATTCCATCTTAGGAGCAGGTCTTCCCCCACATCAAGGCAGCGGAGAAAATAAACCCTTGTCCTCCTTTCCTGTCTCTAAAGCTGGCTGGGCTGAGATGGATGGGGCTGCTGCTCCTCACAAGACAGAGTGGGGGCGGGGATCCAGCTGCAGGCCACTCTTTGGAGAAGGAGTGGGGGGTGGGGAGGGAGAACAGCAAGGACTAAAGGGCTTGGTAGTTTTCCACCATCCTGTTTTCTTTGTTATGTGACCAAATACTGGGGGTGGTGAGTGAATGGAAACCAGGTCTCTGAATTTTCCTGTAAGGGTTACAATTCCTGGCTTGGGAATTTCTGTAGCATCACCTGTATTACAATCACAGTTTAATAGTGGTTGTGTATTTTGAGGCCCTCATTTTCAAATCCCAGGTTATGGATCAAAGTAAGACTTAAAATGTTTACTGTTTTTTGATTATATGTGAATATCTAGGCTTCTCACTGTCAGCTCATCTGAATTCTAAAGGACAAGACATGTATTCAGTAAAGCTAATAGCAGAGTAATATTTTAGACAATGTCCTGAATATATAAAATTCTTTGCTGTACTTACTGTTTATAAGAATTATAGTAAATACTATAAAGAATTTTGTACATTCCAGTGAGCTAGATTGCTCTTACTGATTTGTAAAGAAACTGAATTTAAAAGAATGTGACTTGGCCAAGGTTTTGATTCAAACCTAGGGCTTGTAGGCCAGGACCAAATTATTGCTTGGAGTGCATTTCCACTCAATCCAGTAAATTAGCTGGTTCAAAAGAGCCTAATCTCCTAAACAGTGGAATTAATCTGTAATATAGGACATTGTTAGAACAGATTGCAGAGTTCATCTACATTAATTGTAATTGCTCTGTACTGTACATTAGATTATTTTTTATCTTACCTTTGAAATTGACAGTGCCCTGTGCTCATTAGTAACATGTAATAGCTATTTTGGCTCTTTAACTCATTTATTGAATTAAGGTTGCAGTCCTGTTTCATTTACTCTGGAGGAACCCCAGTGAAAATCAAAGATTTTCTTCTGAAAATTTTATCAGATAGCAATTGTTTGCAAATTTAATAAGTAGCAACTTCTTTTATAGCTGTAAGAAAAAAAGCTATATTTATTTTTCAGTTCTGTTGGAATATGAAATATTATACTTACTGCTTTTTTTAAAAAAAAAGAAAGCAAACCAACTCAGGCAACCACAATGGTAAAATCTTGGCTTAAACATATTTATTTGTACTGATTGTCATTGAGCACCATCAGTTTTAGTTACTGAAGATGATTGTGAAAGCTTTTGCATTGCAGACTATAACTACTAATGTTGGAGAAAATGTTTAAAAGAAAACCCATCCTCAAATTTCTTTTAACAGAATTGGGGGGCTGGCATAGTTATGGGGCACGCTGACAGACAACAGAGTTCTTGTCTCAATGTTTGTTTGTCATTTGCGTCTCATCAATTAAGTGGGTGGAGATTAATTCTGATGAAATCTTTAGTTAAGTGCATCCATTAATTAATTAAAGTTTGCTGCAGTACTACTATTCTTTATCTGGTAGTTAGGTAAGCAGGTAGGTCAGTTGTGGGTGGAGCTGAACAACAGACAAAGCTAATAAACCAACTGATGCTTTTCTGTATTAGAATTCCTCATCCAGGTGCTACCTAGCTGTGCTCTCCAGTGGCCATATTGGCAGGGGATGGTGGAAGCTATAGTCCAGGGCAGATGGAGGGGATCTGGTCTGCATTATGAATTTATTCCATGTCATCAGCTTCTGTAATTACTTTTTCTGAAGCATAAAAATTGGTATACATTCCCCCAAAATTCTTAAACTTGGGACAAAACATAGAAAATGTGTTTGGATGGTTATTCAAGAGACACCTTTCATAGTTTTCTTTTTATAATGCACTCAACTATCCCCACGAAGTACCTTATATTTATTCTTGCTATTGCCTATTCCTGTCCTTATATTTAAGGCAAGCTTATATTTTACTGATCTATTTGGTTTGCTTGATGTTTTTGCAGTTCATCATTTGTCTATAGGACTTTTTTCATCTGTCATATGACTTTGCATTAAGATTTTAAAATATAAAATACATCTTTAAAACGTGTTCTGTAAAGAATAGGAAAATGCACATTTGCAGAAAGACAACATTCAAGTTCTGCCAAATGCATATATAAAGAAAATGAAATTCAGGAATCTGAGGAACAATTTTAGGGGGTGCTGCATTGTAAACATTTGGTGTACTTTTCTGTCCTTGAATTGTGAGATCTCTTCTGAAACTGGGCAGTCATCCAAATGAGGACGCTTAATTAATTAACCATATGCCTTTCAATTGATTGATTATAAATAGATAAAAATAATTCTGAAGCAAAATTGAAAGGTTCTGAAGATGTGTGCCTCTTTTAAGATAATACCTCTGGAAATTGGGCATGCCTCTCAAGAAGAGGCTTGCTTGCTGCCTTCAACTCTTATAAGTACTTGCACTAAAAATAATTTGTCATTAACTAAAACCTTCAGCTTAGTTAATCAAGGGCATAATGTTAGTGAACAGATTTTTAAAAAATAGTTTTTGATAGTTTGATTTAATGTTGGCATACTTGAAAATGCAAAGCTCCTGGAAAAAATTAAAGAGGAGGTGTCTCCCTATGTTTTTCTTCCCCTTTGAAAGACTTGTTTCCTTTTGCAATTTAGTCATTTCGTAGATGAGGAGAATTGCGGAAAAAATACATCTATCCACTTTATCGATTACAGCAGCAGAGGGAGCAATGAAATTTCTTTTTGAATGTTAGTAGCAATTACAACACCAGTAAACTTTCTGTAGTATTAGGCCCAGCCGTTTCAAAAAATTGGATCCCACAGGAGATACCAGCAGGGTCCTCCAGTTACCAGCTAACACTCAGAAGTAGCTGGAACAAAAGAAACTGCTGGCAGTATCCCTCAAACAAATTGTCCAGGAATAGCAGTTGCTGATTAAAGCAGTAGCATATTCACACTGAAACATACAAATAGTATTATATGCAATAAATGTACACTAAAAATACATAGAATCAGTGGATGTCAAAAACTTTGCAATACCTGCCTCCCATCATAATCCCAAGTTAATTGGCATTTCAGGTGTATACTCCTGCCTCCTCTGGTTGTGCTGTTTTGTTGTTGTTTTCCATTATAAAATGTGCCTAAAATCTTGTTTATTCTTATAGTACAACCTGTTGGATGGAATGTTTTTGCTTAACCAGCTAGTGATCAGTCCTGCTTTTGTTTATCTCTTCAGGAAAGACACGGATGAGGCTGATCTGGTTCTAGCAAAAGAAGCCAATGTGAAGTGCCCTCAAATTGTGATAGCATTTTATGAAGAGAGACTGACCTGGCATGCATACCCAGAAGATGCTGAAAACAAAGAGCGGGAAGCAGTGAAAAGCTAAAGTGGCTGGGGTTCTCTGTCCGTCCATAATTGTACATATCCACCCTCCCTTCCCCTTTGCCCAAATGCATCCATGGAAATGTGCTTATTACTGTGCTCGACAGGAGAAACGTTGATATTGGTTGGTTTAGTCATAACATAAATGGTGTGAGTCACGTTCAGTTTCCCTCCAAGAGATTGACGTGCAGTGTGTGTTCTTCTGTCACCTCATCTCATAATTAATAACAATAATGGTTCTTGTTTTTAAAGCTCCTTCAGAGTTTCCAGGCCTTTTTTCCTGCCTGGCTGTTTAGTTCTGCATCTCTTCTATTTCATCATGTTGTTTGTAGAGAATTGTTAACTGTCATTGTTACTGACTTAAAAGTGGCAGGAGCTCCCTGAATTCAGGACAGACCCAACTGACCTAGCACAGTCTTTGGATTCTTAGGTCACCCAAATCACAGTCAAGCCAGATCTTGGGGGATGGGGGCAGGGCTTTTTCTAGTTTATTTCAGAATTGCTAACAGGTTGCTTGAATTGCATTCAAAGATGCTAGATAGCCATTTTCACCCTAATTTTCTAACTGCAGGTCAGAACAGGTACCTTTTGGAGAACAAATAGAAGTTAATTAGTTGGCAAGGATAGCATTCCTCTTTTCAACCTGTCCTTTTATACAAAGAGATTTAGTCCTATTCCTTTCCTTTCCTTTCCTTTCCTTTCCTTTCCTTTCCTTTCCTTTCCTTTCCTTTCTTTTCCTTTCCTTTCCTTTCCTTTCTTTTCCTTTCCTTTCCTTTCCTTTCTTTTCCTTTCCTTTCCTTTCCTTTCTTTTCCTTTCCTTTCCTTTCCTTTCTTTTCCTTTCCTTTCCTTTCCTTTCTTTTCCTTTCCTTTCCTTTCCTTTCTTTTCCTTTCCTTTCCTTTCCTTTCTTTTCCTTTCCTTTCCTTTCCTTTCTTTTCCTTTCCTTTCCTTTCCTGTCCTTTCCTTTCCTTCGTCTCTTACCTTTCTTTATCAGTGGTGCTGTTTGCATGACACGTTTAACTAGGTCATGGGGGTATCTAATTATGTTGTATGTACTCCAAAACTGAGTTAATTGGCCTATAACTTCCTCTGGCAACAAATCCCCCCCCCTTTGTGCAGACTACTTACTAGAGAATTAACTCCCCCTTTTAGCAACTGTGATCAAAATGTAATCCTAGAGAAGCCCCATAAAAATGGGGCTTCTGTGGACATTCCATTTCTATAGTCCTTTTGATTTTTCATTCATTGTACTCGGGGGGGGGGGTGAGAAAAATGAGCAGGTACAGTTGGGGTGTGTAAGTCCATGAATCTGCAATGACCCCAACCTTAATTGTATTGTGGCAACTCTATTTTAAATTTACTTTCCTGGGGGTGGAAGGGACAGCAGGAAGTAAGGAAGGAAGTGATGCCTCCTGCAAGGACTAAACACATTGTCACTGAATGCCTGTGTCATCTGGGATCATGTGCCCTGAGTGTGCCAATGTGAATTAACTGGCTTAAAAAGAACTGGGTCATTCATGTTGCACAAATAGGGCCTGTGTGTTATGTAGGTAAGTAGTTCAGCCAAACAGTGTCATACTTGGAATCTTTCTGTTATACTGTAATTCCTTCTTTTTTTCTTTTTTATAAAGACCCAGAATTGTGGTTCCAAAATTCTAATTTGATTTGTTTCTGGGCTCTTAGTTGTTTCTTTACAGACTTCCTCTGTGCTGTTTCATATTAGTATGTAAATCTGTTATTTCCGGAAGAAACATTTACTTCAGATATATTTTCAGAGGAAACTACCAGCTGAACATAGCTGGCTGATAGGCCACTGGCTACATATCTAGAACAGCTCAGAAAATGCAAAAGTTGTCCCAGACTGGCATTTTTATTCTATACGGTTGACAGTTAAAATGTATCTATTAGTAATGTAACAATAAAATAATACCATGTTACAGAATAAGGATATTGTTGGACTGCAAATCCAATCATCCTTCATCATTGGGTGTGCTGGCTAGGGTGGATGGGAATTGGAGTCCAAGAATATCTGGAGGGTCACACTTTGCCTGTCCCTCACTTAGAATGCTGATCATTACAAATGCTATTTCAGCAGTGGCTTCCTTCTTGTTCTTTGGTTGCAGGACAGGGTAACAGAAAGCAAGTGATGGAATTCACCTTGTTAGATCCCTTTCTCATGACAAAGTCCATGCATGTTTTATTTCATATGGAATGCCTGCATTGTGTAGCATGGTTGGGAATTCATTTTCATCTTCATGTTCCACTGCTACATACTCACTTTGCTGCATCAGCTTTGAAAAGTGCCAATTTCCAACTACCTGAATTTCTGGATACCTCACAACAAAAGGGTCATCCATGCTAGTAAGATTTGGTAGGAGCTTGGATCATTATTGAAATGGTACAGGTTACTTACACTTTAAAATGTTCACTGGTCCTTACATTTATTTCAGAGTCTGGGATTTAACCTCTTTTGCCTCTGCTCCCTTAGCAATGTTCATATTGTTTTTTATAGCAGGGAGAGATGTTCCCACCAATGCTCAGTCAGAAAATCCTGCCACTATTTCATTTCTGTATTGTTGAATTTCTTTCCTTTTCTTTAGCAGGCAGATGAAATGGGTTGCCATCCTTCCATTTATGTATTCTGTACCCTGCTAATCTATCAGGAATTGCAACTGGGCATGGTTTGAAGTAGCATGATGTGAATTGCATTTGTGGCACAACTAGTGAGTCATACGTCATTAGGTCTTCTTATATTTTGCTAAATGCCCGGCACCAGAATAATTTGGTGGCATTTTTGTTTTGGTGGATTTCCTTTGATTCAATTGTTAAGTGTACTTATGTCAACCATATAGAGATAAAAAAAACATTTATGAAAAATGCATATCCTAATTTGATTGGATCATATCATTCCTTGTATGTAGTTTAAGAACCTATTTTGCAACCAGTCCATCTTTCAGTGGTTTTGAGGCAGGTTTGCCTTTAGGGTATGCAGCCTCTATGGCTTTGCCCAGCATATTGTTTTGGGACTGAATAGATTTTCACCGTTTGCTTCCTTAATGGAGATGGGTGACGCTTTAAGAATTTACTTCAAAGCGGATTCTGTTGAACGAAATGCACTGATGCAAAAGAACATCAATTAGTAGAGATGTGATGTTTCTCTTCTAGAAATTACTTGGCACAGTCATTTTCAAAAGTGTTGAACAAGAGATATGTGAAAGTTCAGACTAGATTATAGACTGGACTTTAGCTTTGCACTTCTGATTCCACTTGAAAGCTGTCATATATAGACAGAAGCATAGCTGCCTGGATTTGGTTAATAGCCAGCTACTGCTCTTGAATCCCACTGAACTTTTTTTTTAACTCTTGACTGCATTAGTTCTTCAGTGTGAGGGTGTTTTCATTCATCCCTCCCTTAACCACATGAGCTGGAAGAGGATAGCAGTTGCAAAACAGGATTTCGGAAGCTATATGGATTTAACAGTATGTTTGCATGTAATTTGTACCATTTACACGCTGAATAAATAATTACTTGAGGTTTTTTGAGTCAAGAAGAGCCTCAGGTTCTGCTTTTTGCATGTGACTGTCTCAAAGGAGAAAAAGTCCCTTTCCTTTCATCCATTATACTTCTTCACAGAAAACTAGTTATCCTGCCCCACACCCTTGGAATTCTCTAGTTATGACTGCTGGAGAGGTCAAGTTATTGTGTATCGTATGGCTACCGTGAAGGATAAAAACAGTAGAGATCACAATTTACTAATAGCCATCTGTTTGAAATGAAGCAGCACATAAAGACCCCTCGGTACTCCACATCTTCCTGAAAGGAAGGCTATTCTGAATTTAAGCTAACCCCTTCAAGAACAGGAAGAACAGAAAAAATACAACTGCCTGTTCAATATCCAGTTTGTGCAACTTACCACCTCCCTATCTAAAATTGCCAACTCCAGCGGAAACCAATCCTAAAGGTTTTCCCCACCCCACATAGATGTGTTTATGTGACACATACATTGACCAGAACCCGCCCTCCAACAAGGACAAGGCCAGGACAAAAAATAAATAAAAAATTGAATTAATAACTAATGATCAAAATTAATTGCCTGTAAAACAAGGCACCCATTTATAAAACTAAATGATTTCTGTGTAATACAAACCCAGCATTCTTATGCAAACAGGATACATACATTCACGAGAGCCCATTTCCTTTCAGCAAAACCACAAAGAAAAACAGAATGGCAATGGGAGGAAGGGAAGGGGAGTTACACTGGGAAGAGAAGGAAAAAGTGGTAAACCAAACTGGGTGGAGATGGAAGAATGAGGAGAGGAAAGGAAAGGAAGACCATTTGCCTCCATAAACAGACAAGTATCTGCAAGGAGTTGGAAGAGAGGGACAAACTACCACCATCTCTTGTGCCTCACTGAGAGTGAGGGCTCTAGAAAAATTCCTGTGAAGTTCAGGGATAAAGGAGGCATTTTTTTTGAATGCCCTTGATGTCCTGTTTGTTAGGCTATTAGCTCAGGTGGGAACAATGACTCCGTTAGCTTCTGAGGGGGAAAAAAATGGTGTCCTCGGCTATCGGCTACTTAGTAGGAGGGGTGAGGAAAACATAGTGTTAAAGCCAGAAAAAAATACCAGATTTCTGAAAAGGCAGTGCTGAGAGTCAGCAAGAGAGTGGCATACTTGCCTCAGAGCCTTATGTCCCCTTCAGAGGCTGTACACCCTTAGCTGTGGTTTCTTTCTCTTCCCCTCAAGCACTGGCCGATGCCCACCTGCGATTTACAGCAGCATGCAGCCAGACTCAGCCATCACTGAGGTGATTTAAGGCCTGTCCTCATTATTGTTACATTGGCAGGATGATGGCAGGAAGATTCCAGGTGCTCTAAGTCAACCAAGGTGTTCCTCAACCTTGGCCGCTTTCGGATGTGTGGACTCCAACTCCCAGAATTCCCCAGCCAGCAACTCCTGGGAGTTGGAGTCCACACATCTGAAAGTGGCCAAGGTTGAGGAACACTGCTCTAAGTCACTCCTGGGGATTTCACCTATGCCTCAGTTTTTCTCTCTGCATTGTCTGGAATTTGTGAAAGTGGGCAAAGAAGTAAGAGGAGTGTTGAGTCTGGAGCAAGGCAAGTGCTCTGGATGGTCTGTAGTCTGTCACTGGAAACATTCTTTTCTGTGCTGCAGCCCTGCAGCCAAGCCTAAGATGGAGAAAGTCTCCGCTGTTACCAACTATTAGCTTTCCAGTCCACACCTTTCTAGCACACCAGCAAAGTGCAAGCCAGAATCAAGTTGAATCACAGGCTAAATAAGAGACATTTCACTAACGGCATCGAGGAGCTAACTCTGATAGCCTTTAGGTATTAAAGTCCTGCTGTCCCACTGATTTCTCACTTTATTCTGAAATGCATAGGAGAGGAAGCTTAAGAAAGCCTTGAAGTGCACCTCTCTTTCCTACTCCTGTATGTACATGTACCAGCCTAAAAGCTATCTTCTTCATGAGCAGCTGCTAATAGAAGTTCTTATAAAGAGTTCATAAGGAAGACTTCTCTGATTGCAAGCACTTGTGGGTCTGGCTAAAAAGAAAGGCATTTCAGGAAGTTAATAGATAGCGATAATGCCGTTGTCCAAGGGCATATGTTGCTTAAAACTGCCCTTAGTAAAAAAAAAAAAAACCCACTGGCACTTCTCTTCCTCTGCAAGTATTTGTGCTATGATTTTGAGATGGACTTGTGCACGTGTGTTTTAAATATCTACTCTTGTACAGCCTCGTGAATGCATGCATGTGACTGATATGTTGCCATGTGGGGAGAATAATTAGAATAACTAGAATACAATCTTAGCCTTCTTCCACCCCCACCCCCACAATTTAAATTTTTATTTTGGATGCACCATTAATATAAAGTAGCACACAGGGCCCTTCACAGTTTGGCAAATTTTATAAAAGTCTGAAGGTTCCTAGAGTTCTTTGCCAAACTTAAATGAATCAAAAATTGGGCATCTGGACACTTGAAGGACTGTTTTAGCTGCTAGAGCTGAGATGCTAAAATCCTAGCCTTCTCTACTGGCAGAAATGTAAGTACAGTAACAGCTTTTAGTAACTTCCACAATGTGACCTATGGTGTGATATGGTTTAACCCTGTTCAAAGGCTCTTTTTTTAAAGGTTTTTTAAGCCACCAACAAAGGATGCCCAGATTGGGTTTTTTTAAAAGAAAAAAAAGTTTCCACCCTTTAGCTGAAGATCCTGTAAGTTTGTCTTTCTTAGTGTAGTAGAACTAGCCAGCTGATTCTAAATTTCCAGGATTTCTAAGCCATTCATGCTGCATTTAGGTGGCTTCTAAATTGATCCCACCTCCTCACTCTTTGGCTCCTGGTCTAAATGTTTCAATGGCAAAAAAAAAAAAAAAAAAGCATTTTGGTGTCAGCTTTCTTGCGTCTTCTTATATTTGGAGGTTGTAGGGAATGGGGTGTACGTGTGTGATGGGTTGGGAGGTTTGAATCTTGGCTTTCACTAAAGGTTTGTCATTGTGTGTGTCTGTTTAAATATTTGCACATTTTAAACTGAATACTACTACTCTCTGAATTCATCAGAAATTAAGTTTATGGTAAGACTTTAAATATGCAGGTGCAGTTTTCTGATGCAACCCTTTCTTAAGAGGCTATCAAAAATGAATTGTTATCCTCAGTCACCTAAGCATGGATTAAAATACAAAGAGAATTAATTTTGTGTTAATTAAACTCATTAATTTTTGATTAACAATTTAATTTTTACCCGGGTGGCATTTAAATCTTCTTGGCTGTATGGGCTGTAATGACTCTTGTCTCCTCCCACCAGTGGGAGGAGGAAGAGGAGAGAAATCAACCAGCCAGCACAATTTGAATTATCTCAGATCCTCTATGCCACTGCTGCCTTTCCTTTGTGACACATGACCTACTAACTGTAATTTTGGCCAAAACTATAGTTTATGTAATTTGGTATTTAGCCATATGACAAAATTGGTTCCGTTTTGGCCCATGGTTCGTTTTTTCTTCCTTTCTTCCTTTCCCTCCCTCCCTCCCTCTATTTTGGGGACAACTTTGATCTTAGATTAGCATTTCCAAGGAACAAAGGGCACAATTCACTGGGAACCTTTTCTGTGCAATTCTCTAGTCGTAAATTTGAACTGCATGAGAGACATCTGAGATAATACCTCACTTCACTGCTTCAAAAGCAAACACCCCCATTTCTTTCCTTCTGAGAAATGAAAACAGCTGGCTTAAGGAACTGCTCTGCTGTTGACCAAGCTTTCTGCCTGTCTGGATCCAACTATCTCTGGCTGATAAGACTGCATGAATTGTTCACTCTGGGTTGATGCCACAGTTCTTCCTACAACAGTTTGAATCATTTGCAAAGGCATGTCAAAACTGCAGGCTTTGCTTGCAGCAAACAGTGTGGAAGATTCATGGACACATATTTGGATCCCGGTGAAAACACAAACCCGTTTGTGTCATGTGCGTAGAACATGTGAAAGGGCCTTGGAGGTCTAATGCCCCTGGTGCTGGTTACAGAAGTGAAATATATCCAGGTTCCCTATGATCAGTATTAGACTCCTGATGAAAAAGAAAAAAATGATGTGTCAACTCTTCTTCTCCCAACCCCAGCAACATCCTGCCCTCCACAACAGATTGTTGAACTTTTGGCTAACAGTGTGTCTGTGCATGTGTGTTAGACCTCTTTTGGGGTAACATTTTAGCCAAACTTTCTGATTCTAAGCTAATGTAGGTTATGCTGTTTTTTAAAGTGTGAAAATAATTTTTAAAATGAGCTATTTGTTGTACGACTTGACATGTTACAAACAAACCTCTCTCCTATGCCCTGTATTCCTCATCTCTGCTCTTTCATATTTCTTGTATCAGTTCTAATAAATGGTTACTTTTCAGTACAGGCTGTTGTCTTTTATTCACTCTTCCCTTTTTTAAACCCTTCAATATTGTCTGAATATGGTTATGTTTAATATGTTTTGTTGCTGTTTAGATTTGGAAGGTAGTCTTGACGTAGAGAATTTGACCCTAAAGCGTAGCAGTGAAGTTAGCAAAATTTAGCTGCTTACCCTACCGAATGTGCGGCTGTACAACTGCCATAGTATAGGTGCCAGTGACTTTTAGTTTTTCTGGACCTGAGACTTAGTTTTAATTCCACCTTTCATTACTTTTAATCCTCCCTTCCCTTTTCCTCCCTCTGTGATTGCCTTTCTCAACCAAGGGCCCTCCAGATATTCTGAGCTGTAACATCCATCTATAGCCAATGTGGTCTCCATCATCCTGGCTGGGAATAATTGTTAGATTTGCAGGTCAATACATCTGGAGGGCGATAGCTGAGGACTGCAGTTCTGTGGAAGCAGTTTTCTGAGTGGACTACCCACCTACCATTTTAGGTTTTGTGCAGAGTCATCCTTTTCTGATTGTTGGGTAGCAGCAGTATCAATGTATAACCTACCAATGAACGGAGCTTGAAACACCAGTTGGTGTATCTCTTCCCTTTCTTGTACGAGCTTCTTAGGTTCAACGCTCTCCTTCCCTCCTCTGCAGTAGTCCCTGTCAGTGCAGCATCCAGGGGTGGGAACAGATCACAACTTTTTATACAGAAGGAGAAAAACTGATGAAGACCAGGGAATACTCTCAAAGCAAAGTAGCAGCTTTCAGCCATTAAGAATCAAGATTCCTTCTCTGTGTAGTCTGGTCTACTTCTGAGTGGGATGGGATGGGATGGGATGGGATGGGATGGGATGGGATGTTAGGAATTCTCTTCAGGGAAGAAGGCATTGCATGTATCTCCCCCTGTAGAGTGATGGAAGAGAAAGAACTGCTTACTTATGTGTAAAATACCAACGAAGAGAAAGGTGAGGCAGGATACTAAAGATTAACTTGCATCACAAAGAATATTCCAAAAGACTTGCATGCTGATGATACGTAAGGATAGTTCTGACTCTCACAAAAGGGAGTTCTGCATGGTAGGGGGCATTTCTGTGAAGGCTTTGTCCCTATTTAACTTACTTTAAAGGAGGTCTAAGGAATAAGGCCTCTGGTATAGGCGCCCCTTCTTATAACTCCCCCACTATATAAGTCAAAACCAGTCCTTTGAATTGGGCCTGGAAATGCAACTGAAACCAAGTCATTGTTATATGTTCTTGCTGCCTAGAATAACAGCAGCCATGTTATTGCATTTGGCACCAGTAGAATTCCAGATTTTCAAAGATAATTCTTCTCCAAAATCCTTATATTGTTTGACCAGGAATACAGTGATTGCTGGGCTTCCCAATAGCATAGAATGAGTAAGAAATCTGACACTCAGATGACAGCTGCCCTGGCCTGTATATATATATGTCAATATATATATATGTCAAATCCTGTCAAGATTTTAGTGGCTTCCTATAAGATTGCAGAAAAATTCAATGATCTTGCTTGCAATCTCATGAAAATTTTGTAATTTGTGGGAGAATGCCCAAAGCTAGGAAAGTGTGCCAGGGGGTCATTAAAACTCATTGTGTGAAGCGTGCCCTCCTACAAATACTGTAGTCTCTTTCCCAACATGACAATTTGGTTTTTTAAAAAAAGGATTCTCATAGTGCCAGTGTGGAATTTTGTTTTTTGAAGACTAGATGGATGGTGGATGATAGCATTTGAGCATATACATATGTATAAAAAGTCTGGGATATTACATATACACACATCTCAAATTTCCCTGGAGAGGATGTGACCTTCATTGGAGGGTGGAATACTCCCTATTCATGGCAGAAATAATCTCTAGGAGGCTAATGAACAGCTATGCAAGCTAAAACAAAGAGCATGGCTCTTCATCATTAGTCTGTGGGTTTTTGCAAGCACAGCAAAAAGAAAGAATTTTAGTCAAGAATCTGGGCATTGTGAGAATTGCAGCATACTCACCTACCTACTTCCCCATCATACTATTCCTTTTCAGGGTAAGAAACATTATGGAAAGTACAGAAATAGAGTAAGAAGTAGCCAGCTAAAGAAATTACAGGAGTTGAGAAAAGGAAATATAACAAGAATTTAGTTTACATCAACGGTATTAATTATATATCTCCATAACTTTCTGTCCTTGCAAACCATCCTTCTTTTCACTACATCCATCCAGCCACAATATTCTTGACTTTCTCAGTCTTCTTCTCAACCCATTAACTCTTCCTTCATATATTTGCTTTGTGATTCGATCCTCATTCATTCTCCCTCTAAGATCAAACAATCTCAATATACTTCTCTTGTACTGGTCAGTTATTTTGGTACTCCATCTATATGCATTTATCAAACATTCATTCTTGATCCTATAGCTTCTTGTCTTACAACATACACCCCATTCCCATTGCATTCACTTTTGTTTCCCCTGATCTATCTAACTTACACATTCATCTAACAAAGTGGGCAGAGGTATGCTCTTTTACACAGAGCACTTCCACTTCTTTCAACAAGCATTCCCTCCTTGCAATAGACCACATATTATCCATTACCTTTCTACCAGCATTTGCATATTTTAAAATTTCCCTGTCTTTAGTAAACATTCTATCAGGGTTCACAAATTAATTTATTTACTCTGGGGTGTTTTTTTTTTTTGCCATGTGTAACTTCAATCATTCACTCCATTCCTCTTTCAAACACAACTTCCTTCAGCATTCTGTA